TGCCTTTGCGGCTCCCCCGCAGCACGTAGCCCGGCCGGCACTGGAAGGTGATGTTGGCCCCGGGACGGTACACAGCGCTCTGTCCTTCAGCCACATCTCCATTCTGGATGGTGGGGCTTGTGCAGGTGATCGCTGGAAGGGAAAAGCAGCAGAGCGTGGGCTGGGGAAGCGGGTGCCGGAGCTGGGGGTTCCCCCTTTCTTTTTGGGAGTTCAAAATTCAGGGAAGACCGTGCAACCACGCTGGTCTCCCTTCTGACTCTGGGGACCAGCATTCCCAGCTCACCTTCACACCGCGGGTAAGGGATGCTCCAGGTTCCAGATGTCAAACAAGAAACTGTTGTTTTCCCAGTGAGGACGTACCCCGGGTCACAGTGGTACTTCACTGATGTTCCAGGGATGAACACTTTCATATCCTTGCTCTCAGGCTTGCCATTTTTGATATTTGGAGGGGAAGGACACTGTAGCACTACAAGGAGGAGAAAAAAGTCATAACTGGTGAAGAGCAGGTACCAGAAACACCCACTGTAGGATAAGGCAGCCTTTTCACTTCTTTCTTTCCCATTAACTTTTCCCAAATAGCTAGGTATGTCAATGTATGAATTATGCTTCCATCCTACCCTCACTGATCCTCCAGCCTTGATGCTTTTTGAGCTTATTGACATCAAGACTGATCTTTTCTCACTATTTAGGCATTTACAGTCTCCCTAACAGCTTGCTCTGGCCTTTCCGTGGTTGTCAACCAGATCGGACACCAGCCTAGATCTCTCTCTTTGTGGATTCATTTAAGGAGACGAAAGCCCTACGTAACAAGAGTCTGAACGGGTATTATGAAGATGGGAGGACAGATATTTGCATGTTTTTGCTTTCCAGTCCTGGAGAGTGGCCCCTTAACCTCCCAGGTGAGGCAGTTGCACCCTGCCAGGTGCACTCACACAGTGGTTCAGAAGAAATCAGCTACCACCCACCGCCTCATTTACACTTACTCTTTTCACAGATGGGGACAGGAGGGTCCCATGTGCCCCCAAACTGGCACTGAGACTCTTGAGAGCCCTTCAAGGCGTAACCAAAATCGCATTCAAAGATAACAATCTCTGCGAGTCTGTACACGGTCTCCAGCCCAGTCGTTCTTCCGTTCTTGATCTCTGGTCTTTTGCAGCCAGTTGCTGGAAGTGAAGAGCAGGAGGCACCGCTGGGGATGTGAAGCCCATCCCGGGTGCGGAGGGGCACTGACCAGGGGCAGTCTCTGCTGCCGAACCTTGCCATCACTGTCATGGGCATGTCAACATTATTGACTCTTATTCTTACACAAAATATCATTATTCAACTGCACGTATAGTCTGCCCTTACTGGGGGGGCAAAAAGGGAAATCCACAGAGGCAGGTGGAGCTCCTTCTGCCTGTGGGACCTTTGACTTCTGCCTCTCACTGGAGATTTGGTTTGCACCGATTAGACCAAGAGCCAAGAAGGAAGAAAGGGCCTGGAGAAGGGTAAAAGAAGCCAACACAAACACACCTTCACATCGGGGCCGGGGCCGGCTCCACGTTCCCCCAGCGGTACAGCTGATGGAGCCATTCCCAATGAGGGAGTAGCCATCCCTGCAGGTGTACTGCACAGCTGAGCCTGGAAGGTGGGTGTCCGAGGGCTGGCCGCTGTGCTTCCCGTTGGCGATGGCTGGAGGGGGAGGACACTTCACCTCTGCGAAGGAGAAGGAAAGGCAGATAAGAAATATGGACAGGGCAAGAAAAAAAAAATTTAAAAATCCAACCTTCAAAAACCAAAGGAGGAAGACAATTAATTCCATTAACTCTTTGAATAAATATCTGTCATGTTAGTGGTCTTCCTGTCAGTGGGTGCAGCCCCCACTGCAGCCACAGTCATTCCTTCTGCCACTCACAACCAACTCTCGCTGGCGGGGACGGACGCCCGCGCACCGCAGAGCCCTACCTCCGCACCGCGGCGGCGGCCCGCTCCCCACGCCATGCTCCCCGCCCCCCCCGGGGCAATAGATGG